CCTCTCCCTTTTCTCCCAGTAAGCTAAAAGTACACACATACAACGAGAGATCCGAGAGATCCCAGTAAGCTAAAAGATCGCCGAGATGCATCCGACGTATCCCCTCCTCGACCTCCTCGAGGCCCTCGCGTTCTCCCAGCGTCTCGGTGTGTCGGCGACGGGTCAGCCATGCCGCCCCCGCGCCCGCTTGGCTCACCATCTAACAGCGACGAGCGGTCCATGGGCCCGATGGTTGTCCCCTTACGGCGCCGCCGATCGGGTACCATCAAGGCTCCCAGGTCGCTGCTTAGCCCGACGTCAGTGCACGAGATGCTGGCCGAGACAGGCGATGACGCCCGACTCTTGCGCCTCCTCGAGGCTCTGTTGAAGAAGGAAGAGGCCGAGCAAATCGCCCGCGACAACGAGCTGCTGGCGTGGGGCAGAGGCGAAGCATGGGTGCCATGCGAGGCGGAGCCAGTTGACTGGCCCGACCCGCCACCGTACGAGGATTTCGGCATCTTCACTCTGGAGTGAGTGTTAGAGCTCTCGCTGCGGCGCGCTGCGAAGGCGAGCGCGCCAACGGCGTCCCTATTTCTCGCGGTCTCTCCCCTGAGGAGAAGCAGTCGAGCCGTCAAGTAGTCGGTCGAGCCGGTGAGGGTGCGGTATTCCATCTCTCTACAACTCTCAACTCCCTCACGCCTGATTTCTTGTACTAACTACATGAAACCTGTTCTACTGATGTACCGTTTGCACCGTTTGCACCGTTTCTAACACTGTTATTATGGCGGGGTCGTCCGCACGTGGATTGGCTCTCACGTGTTGAGGACGACCGTCGACCGCGGGCGCGCGCGCAGCGGCGGCGGTGTCGGACGCACGAGAGGGAGCCGGCGGCGGTGAGGCCGAGGACGGAGGCGGCGTGGTGCGCCGTCGCGAGCAGGCGGGCTGCTGGCGCCTCGGAGGCGGCGGCGGCGGCGTCGTCATCCATCTCCACGTCCTCCGGCTGCAGCGCCACCGCCCACAGCTGGACGCAGTTGCTCGGCTCGTCCCACGTGCCGGTGGCGACAATGCCAGCGCCGGCGGAGCAGGACGAGGAGCGCCGCCCGCGCGCGGGCCGCCGCGGGAAAGAGCGAGTGGCTTGCCGGCGACCACGGCGCCGCCGCCCGCAGGATCAGCGCCGCCGCCTCGCCCTCGCCGCTCGCGGCGCGCTGCAGCGGCGTCGGCTCGCCCTCGTGCAAGCTTGCGCCGCTGCGCAGCAGGGAGAGCGCGCGGGCGGCGGTGAGGGTCTCAAAGTGCGCGAGCGGCGTCCAGCTGCGGCTAGCGATCAGCCAAGCGGCGAGGTCGGCGTGGCCGCGGCGGTTCGCAACCTCCTCGGGCGTGCCGAAGGGCGTAGCGGCGCGGGAGGCGCCGTAGGAGGAGAGGAGCTTGACGACTTCGAGGTGGCCGAAGTGGCACGCGATGACCAGCGGCGTGGCGCCGTTGTTGTTCATGGCTTGGCCGACCGCTGCGCCAGCCTCGAGAAGCAGCCGGACGATGTCGAGGTGGCCCTTCTGGCACGCGAGGTACAGCGGCGTGATGCCGTCGTTCTTCGCTTGGTTGACCGCCGCATTGGACTCGAGGAGCAGCTGGGCGCACTCGACGCGCCCCTGCAGGCATGCCACGAGCAGCGGCGTGAAGCCGCCATCCATGACTTGGCCGACCGCTGCGCCGGCGTCGCGCAGCAGCCGGGCAATCCCGAGGTGGCCTCGGTGGCACGTGATGTACAGCGGTGTGACGCCTCTGGTGTTGGCTTGGTCGACCGCCGCATTGGCCTCGAGCAGCAGCCTGACGCACTCGGGGCATTCCTTCTCGCACGCGAGGAGCAGAGCGGAGGCGCCGTCTGGCTGAAGGGAGCAGCAGCTGGCGGGTCTCGTACACACGCTCCTCCTCAGGACTGACAGGAGGAGGAGCTCCAGCCGCAGCGCCGGCGGTTTCAATCACGCCTGTCACTCTACAAGCGGCCCAAAATCGCCCTCGAACTCCTCGAGGTCGCGCTGGCGCGCCGCGCCGTCCGGGCCGTAAGAGCCGAGGCTGGTCTGGGCCCGCTCTAGCCAGCCGTAGAGAAGGGGGCGGCAGCGCTTGTAGGCCAGAGCCCCGTCCACCGCCTCGTACCAGCGCATCGTTGCGGGCGGGAGGCGGAGGACGGTGGTGGCGAGTGGGAAGGCGCCGAAGCCGATCGTGGCGGTGGTTGGCACGGTGACGGAGGAGAGGGAGGAGCAGGCGTTGAAGGCGCTGCTGCCGATCGAGGTGAGGCCGGCGGGGAAGGTGACGGATGTGAGAGACAAGCAGCGGTAGAAGGCTTGCTCGCCGATGGAGGTGAGGCCGGCAGGGAAGGTGACGTTGGCGAGGGCGGAGCAGCCGTAGAAGGCGCAGCTGCCGATGGAGGTGAGGCCGGCGGGGAGGGTGACGCTGGTGAGGGAGGAGCAATGGAGGAAGGCGCTGCTGCCGATGGAGGTGAGGCCGGCAGGGAAGGTGACGTTGGCGAGGGCGGAGCAGCCGTCGAAGGCGTAGTCGCCGATGGAGACGAGGCCGGCAGGGAAGGTGACGTTGGCGAGGGCGGAGCAGCCGTAGAAGGCGCAGCTGCCGATGGAGGTGAGGCCGGCGGGGGAGGTGACGGAGGCGAGGGCGGAGCAGCCGAAGAAGGCGCCTCTGCTGATGGAGGTGAGACCGGCGGGGAGGTCAATGGAGACCAGCGAGCAGCAGCGGTCGAAGGCGTGCTTGCCGATGGAGGTGAGGCTGGCGGGGAGGTCGATGGAGGCGAGCGAGGTGCAGCGGTCGAAGGCCCGGTCGCCGATGAAGACGAGGCTGCGCGGAAAGGCGACCGAGACGAGAGTGGCGCGTTCGAAGAACGCCAGGTCCGGCAGGTGCGTCATGCCTTCGGGCAGCACCGCGTGCCCGTCGGCGACGACGACCTGCCAGCCGCCCACATCAAGAGTCTCGGAGCCGGGCGGCGGCGCGGCGTCGCTCGGCGGCGGCGCTGAAGGAGTCGAGGCGGGCATCCCATCCTGGGAAAAGAATTTAAACAAAAGAACTCTCTCTCACAGCAGACAGGCTCGACACAGGTGCGAACTGGCGCGTGCTAGTACTATCACCGGGAAAAGAATTTTAGGACGCCCGCGAGGTGGCACGAAGCGAGAAGCGGCGAGAGACTGCGAAAAGAGATAGGAAGAGGCAGACTCCCTAGGGTGGGCGACGGCTAGCGCATCACACCCCTCTCCTTAAAATCCCTGTGTGGTGGCGGCGTGCCGTCCTCCCATCCCTCCCTGGGGTTGTCTGTTTTCTTTCTTTCTTTCTTTGGCACGAAGGTTGCAGCGAGAATCGGAGAGAGACTGCGACGAAGAGAGATAGGAAGAGGCGGACGCCCAAGGGTGGGCGACGGCTAGCGCACCACACCCCTCTCCTTAAAATCCCTGTGTGGTGGCGGCGTGCCGTTCTCCCATCCCTCCCTTGGGGTGTCTCGTTTCTTTCTTTCTTTACACCGGGCACGGGACTGGCGCGCACTGGCACTAACACAGGGAAAAGAATTTTACAAGCAAAAGAATTCTCGCGCGAAAAAGGTCGGGACGCGTCTGTCCTCGACCCACCCATAACTTTTTTCCCTTTTTCTCGCATATGTCTCCAAAAGTACTCGAAAGATTCTCCGGTCCTCTCGTACACACGCTCCTCCTCAGGACTAACAGGAGGAGGAGCTCCAGCCGCAGCGCCGGCGTTTTCAATCACGCCTGTCACTCTACAAGCGGCGCAAAGTCGCCCTCGAACTCCTCGCGGTCGCGCTTGCGCGCCGCGCCGTCCGGGCCGTAAGAGCCGAGCCTGATGTTGGCTCGCTCCAGCCAGAGGACAAGGCCGGGGCGGCAGCGCTTGTAGGCCAGAGCCCCGGCCACCGCCTCGTACCAGCGCTGCAGGTCGCGCATCCTCTTGGGAGGGAGGCGGAGAACGGTGGTGGCGGGCGGAAAGGCGGCGTAGCCGACGGTTGCGGTGTCTGGCACGGTGACGCGGGTGAGCGGGCAGTCGCGGAAGGCGCCGTGGCCGATGGAGGTGAGGGTGGTTGGCACGGTGACGCGGGTCAGGGAGGGGCAGCCGCAGAAGGCGTAGACTCCGATGGAGGTGAGACCGACAGGGAAGGTGACGGAGGCGAGAGAGGTGCAACCATTGTAGGCGTTGTCGCCGATGGAGGTGAGGCCGGCGGGGAAGGTGACGTGGGCGAGGGAGGAGCAGCCGCGGAAAGCATGGGGGCGGATGGAGGTGAGGCTGGCGGGGAGGTCAATGGAGACGAGCGAGGTGCAGCGGTAGAAGGCGCCGTCGCCGATGGAGGCGAGGCTGCGCGGAAAGGCGACCGAGACGAGAGAGGTGCGGAGCTGAAACGTCCCGTCTGGCAAGTGCGTCATGCCTTTGGGCAGGACCGCGTGCCCGTCGGTGACGACGACCTGCCAGCCGCCCACGTCCAAAGTCTCGGAGCTGGCGGCGTTGCTTGGCGGCGGCGCAGACGTCACCATCGTGGAAACAAAGAAATCGCGCCCTCGAGGGAACGGCAGGCCGCGGCGGCGGCGCAGAACGAGGCAGAGGAGAGCGACGCGACAGAGGAAGATGCGACAAGGGAGAGCACGACGAGAAGGGGGAGACCGCGAGGTGGCACGAAGGTTGCAGCGAGAATCGGAGAGAGACTGCGAAGTGAGATAGGAAGAGGCGGACGCCCAAGGGTGGGCGACGGCTAGCGCACCACACCCCTCTCCTTAAAATCCCTGTGTGGTGGCGGCGTGCCGTTCTCCCATCCCTCCCTGGGGTTCTTTTCTTTCTTTCTTTTTAGCTTGTGTGCCGGTGATAGTACTAGCACGCGCCAGTTCGCACCTGTGTCGAGCCTGTGTGCTGTGAGAGAGAGTTCTTTTGTTTAAATTCTTTTTAGCTTGTGAACTGTGGTCCCACTCTCCCGTCGCTCCTGGTCCGGCGGCTGAACGCGTCCGCACACACCCTCGCCCTTCGCGCGGCGCTTACTCGCGGACAACGCGCTGGGTGCCCGTCGGCTGAGGTGACGGCTCGTCGATGTCCCAACCATTGTGGTGCACACTCTCCGTCTCATCACCTCGGTTCCAGTGGAGTTCAAAATAGGCGTAGCCGGCCTGCTTTGCTTCTTCGTAGGTGTAGCCGGCGGCCTTGCACTGCCTCGGACGGAACGTCGCGTGCCTAGCCTCCTTACATGTCATGCCGGCGGCCTTCAGCTGCTTAAGAATCGTTTCGGCTAGGAGTTGGTTGTGTTCTTGAGAATCCAAGATGCCGTTCAACTTGGAGCACTTGGAGTGCAGTCGGCAACCTCACATCCAGGGCCGGGGAGCTGAGAAGCGCACCCAGCGGGCCGGATGATTGGCATCGGGTTGCGGGCAAGAGAGCCCTAGCCCCGGGGGTGCGCGTTCGCAGGGCCGTAACACGGGTCTCCGAGGGTTAGCTCCGCGCTCCGGGTTTCCCCTAGCAGCAGACCGCCCCCTCTACTCGGAGCTAAAGAATACTCTCCGAGGGTTAGTCCGCGCTCCAGGTTTCCCCTAGCAGCGGAGCGCCCCCTCTACTCGGAGCTAAAGAATACTCTCCGAGGGTTGGACCCGCGTACCGGGTTTCCCCTTAACTGCAGGACGCCCCCTCTACTCGGAGCTAGTGATACGAGAATACGTACTGCCCCCACGCAGTACCTGTACTACTCGACGATAATACAAGAATACGCAGCTGCGAGGTACCTATAAAGAAACAGCGAGGTAAAGTTCGGCGGCTATGATAAACCGAAAGTTGTCGTAAAACGCGGGCGAAAGCAAAGCAGAGGGCGGGCGCTTTTTGCCGCAGCGATGCCCGCAGCCTGTCGAGCAGCTTCCGCGGCGCCCATGCGCCGCGGGGTTGACCGACAGCCGCGCCTCTCGCGCCTCCCGTGCCACGCGCGGCGACGCGCACCCTGCGCGCCAGTCGGCGCACTGGCAGCACTGCACCAGCCAGCACGGCGTGGAGCAATGCATCCAGGGCATTGTGTTGGGCGCCAACCAGCATGCCTCAGGACAGAGCAAGGGAGCATGCTGCGCACCCTGGCGCAGCGCCAGCTCGCCTCCAAACAGGCACTCTCACCACTGCACAGCCGCCCACGAGCGCCCGCAGCTGCACTGCTCAACATTGAAGCTCAGGAGCCTCCCCTTGTTGTCGCAGCTTTGTGCAGTGCAGCGTGCGAGCAGCGCAGCGCCAGGCCGACCCCTGGCACGCCCGGGCGGCTGTGGGACGGAGGCCCGCCGAGCGAGTGCGAGCCGCATCGGCGGCCATGTCTCCTGCCGCCGCGAGCGAGCGGCGCAAAGAGGCAGCGTCGCGCATGCTTTTCCGTAACGGCTCGCCTGTTTTTCAACTTGGCCGAAATCATTTCTTGTGCGATCTCTTGCATCGAATAGCCCGCACGCGTCATGTCAGCCGGGCTGTATCCGGCCAACACAGCGTCACCGCAGTGCAGCCCCGTCCGCTGCCGCAAATCTCGCAGTACCCCAGGTATTTCGGATGCCAGACAAAAACTTCTCCCGCGTTCGAGCGTCTGGGCGTAGGAACGCGAAAGCTCGGCACACGGTGGACTTTCATCGTTCATTTCTTGCTCTTGGCAGCTCAATTTGCTCCATTGGTCATCGAGGCCATCGATAGCTGCATGGGCATCAGCACATGAATACCCGGCCATCCTCAGTACTGACACCGCGCGTGGACACAGCGTAGTAGTAGTAGCACAAAACGTGGACATCGCGTCATCGAAGGATGCGCCGCGAGTTTTGAGCTGCACGAAAATGACGGCCAGATCCTCCTCTGTACAACCGGCATCGATCATGTGCTGCGCGCTGAGACCGAAACCGAACGGGCTCTCAGTGCACACCTCTGTGTACCCCACTTGCTTCAAGAGTCGCAAGCATTGGTGTCGCGGACAGTTGGTCTCGTCAACAGCCGAAAGGACTTGCTCGAAAGTAAATCCAGCTGCGAAGGCTCGGCTGAGATCAAAAGCGCGTTCTTGCGAAAGCACTAAGAGATGTCGGAGATGGCGGACTTGAGCCATGTCTTCCGTCTCGGTTTGTGCTGCCTGCGCCGTCTCGTCGTGTGCCTGCGCCGTCTCGATCGCTATGGTGAGCCTCTCCAGCACTCCTCGGAGGAGCACCACTTCGCCTGCTTCTTGCGCCCTCAAGTCACCAGCCTGCTTTTCCAGCAGCGCGATGCGCCTGTCCAGCGCGCCCACGAGGTGCTCGTGCGCGCTATGCTGCGAGTACGCGGACGCCAAAAAGACAACCAGGGCCACGCCCCCGAGCGATCTCTCCAAACCCAGCATGGTCGGATCGAACGACTCTGATAAGCGGCTTGGGGCAGCTCGGCGTAGGGCGGCAAGGTGGAACGCCGAGTCTCTCACGCTATCAGTGTCACGCATACAAAAAATAACGAGGTCCGATCGGGGCGCATGAGCCGGACTTGTGGGCCGGACCACCCAAGTCCTTTATCTGCGTTGTTGAGCCAGGACTCAACATACTCGTTCTGTTGCCATCCCAAACTGTCACTCCCCTCTCTCCCGGCCGGGGTGGGGCGCGCGCGGGGGGCGGCGGGTGTGCGGCGGGTGTGCGGGATGTCTGTGGGCCCGAGAGCGATATGCCATGTCCGCCTTGCGTTGAGGCCCGACCGTCTTTTTTCTGACCCTCGCTGTTCCCTCCCTCCCAAGCCGGACACAGCGGTGGAGAGAGACGAGCTGGAGAGAGAGAGGATTTGTTTCTCACTCCGGAGTTCGAATTCTTGATCGCAATGGCGTCTTACGCCACCGGCAACGTCGGAGGAAGCGCAACCACATCGGCGGACGACTCCATCGACGACAGCGCGATCGACTCCATCGGCGAGCGGATGGCGAGCCTGGCGGCCGCCAGCTGCCTCCGCACCACGCCGGTCAAGTACCACGCAACCAGGTTTGCGATTGTGGTTGGCCTTCCCCTCGTCGGGACGCTGACGCTCGGCGCCGCCATCGGGCCAGAGCTGGTCGCAAAGGTCGTCGTTTGGTTCGTCGCGACAGAAGTATCCGGCTTTGGCGGCGCGGACGGCCAGCTAGGCGACGGACATACCCTCCTCACGCCCCTGTGGTTTCGGCTCACGCCGGGCACGCTCCGTCAGTCACCGTTCGCAGACCCGTCGACGCCTCCTAGCGGCCGCAGCCGACTGGACGCGCTTGTCTTGATCAGCACGCTCTTCACCGCTGTCGCGACGATCGGCTCGACCGGCCATGCCCATGCGCAGGCGCTGCGCCTCTTTGCAGGCGCGTTCACCGCCCTGTGCCTGCGCGACTACAGTGCGTGGTGCGGCGGGCAGGGCAAGCACTTCTACCCGCTCCTGCTCAGTGCCGCGTTTGCTGGGCCGGCCGGCACGCTCGCTGCGATGCAAGCCACTCAATTTGCGCACATCTTCTTCTCGGGCCTGTGCAAGCTGGGCCCATGGTGGATTAACGTCGGTGCGCCGCTCCCCCCCCCCCCCCCTCTGCCTCGCCCCGCTTTGCTGCCTCTCTCTGCCTCCCGCCTCTCGACGGCCCCACCCCTTGCGGCAGTGCCAACCATGTTTGGGATGGCGCCGTGCTTCCCGGAGGCCGTGCGCGCACTCGCCTTCAAGGACGCCCGGGCGGGCGACGCGGCGCCGTCGGGGGCGTCCATGCTGCTCGCGCTCGCGGGCGTGATCGCCGAGCTGGCCGGTCCTTTCTCCTATGGCTGGCTCACCCTAGCCCTACGCCGACCCCGACCCTAACCTATCCCTGACCCCAGGTCCTCTCCTGTGGCTCGCGGGCGGAGTAGCGGCGCGGCTCGGCGTGCTGCTCGTGGGCGGCATGCACGCCTTCATCATCCTCGCCAACCCGCTGGGAGGGATCGGTGAGGCGCCAGTAGTTTTGAGGTAGATTCTCTCGGGCAGGGATCAACGGCGTTTGACGACGAAGAGTCTGCCTCGGACACTGGACACCGGCGCTTTCTGGGTGGACGAAGGAAAGGTGTGTGCCGCTTGCTCGCTCGCAGGCGAGTGGAACGCGGCAAACATCTTTCTCGAGTGGTACTTGTTCGGCCTCCACTCCTGCGCGCCTCGCGCCTTCCTGGCGGCGCCTCCGCCGCCCCTCGCCGCTTTCCTCCTCGCGTCGCAGTACTTCGCGCCCGTGCTCGGCAACCTGCGCCCGGACTCGATGTCCTACCTGCTCGCGCCGTTGCTCGACCTCCAGCGGCCACTAACTGAGTCGCTCATTCCTTCCTCCATCAGGTCGTACCTGCTCGCCATCCGAAACTACTCTGGCAACCACGCGACACACATCTTCGCCGCCAAGGCCTCCGCGCCTGCCAAGCTCCTACTATGAATGAGTAGTGACTCATCGTCAATAACCTTAGCGTTGACAACAGGCCTCCGCGCTCGCCAAGTTGAACCGGGTCCCCGGCGCCTTCGCGCTCTTCGCACCGGCGGACCCTGCGCTGCGGGTCCCCGATGCCGTCGTCAACCCGCTGAACTGGGCTTCGTTGCCATCGGCGGGGCCCGATGCCATCGGCGGGGACCGTCGGTGCAGCGGGTCCCCGGCCAATACCGCTATCAACCCTCACGGCCGCCCGCCGTCCACACCGCCAAGCATTTGGCCGTCGCCAGCGCTGCCGCGTGTGCGCGCACGTTCCGTCTCACGCGTCGCTGTGAGTAGACTTCGGCGCGGACGGTCTCCTCGGTGGCCTTGGGACGCTCGCACGCGCTCGCGGCAACACCAAGTGCCTCGGCTGGCTGCTCCAAACCTATGTGCTGCCGCGGGAGGAGGGTGCTGCCCGCGAGCATGTCCTGATAGGTCTGCCGCAGTTCTGCAACCAGGTGACGATCCTCGGCCCAGCTCGGCTCACCTCGGCTCACCTCGTATCGGCTTGCCTCAGTCCACTTCGGATCATCTTGGATCATCTCGCCTCATCTCGGCTCATCTCAGATCATCTCGCCTCATCTCGGCTCATCTTAGCTCATCTCGGCTCATTTTGGCTCATCCGCCCCTTTACGCCGCCTCCAGACCGTGACCGAGATCGACTTTGGGTCGCCCGGGCTTCTGCGCACCCTCGCGGCGAGGTGCGGGCTCGATAGAGGCGACCTGCTCTCGCTGCGCATCTCGTCGTTCCCGCTGCTGCCCGACCTCGCGACAGGCCGCTACCGCTGCCACTGGTCGGTCGTCGACGCCGTCGACGCCCTCTCCGCCGACCCCTCCGCCCCCACGCCAGAGCTACCGCCCGGGGCGCCCGCCCGCTGGGGTCTCTTTGGCCGCACGACGGCATCTCTGCTATGGGTGCCCTCCCTCATGCCCCCCTCCCCGCCCCACCCCCTCCGCCTCCCCCCGCCCTCACCACCACCGCTAACCGCCGCTTTGAAGCCATCAGCCCCCTGGCAGGACCTCGCCGGCGAGAAGAAGGGCGTGATCGAGTGCGACCTCTTCTCGGGCTTCTTCGAGGGCCGCGCGAGCGCGTGGCAGTTTGGCGACCCCGCTGGGAGGAGGACCTTTGACGCGCAGGGCCGCGACATCACGGCCAAGAAGGTAAGGTAAGGGACGACTGAGCGCCAGCCGCGTGCGGTGACATCTCCGCCGGCCCACGCATCGCTCGTCCTGAGCGTATCTGTTTGAGTACAATGTCATTCCTTCCTCCTCCTCGTCGTCGTCGTCTTCCTCGTCGTCGTCCTCCAAGGCGTCGGACTGTTCCTCCGAGACGCGAGACGTCCGACTCGTCCTTGTCGTCGGACGGAGGAGGCTTAGGCTTGCGCTTCTCCTCGGGTCGCTCGGGTCGCACCAACACGGACACGGTGTAAAGTATGGGGCGGCGTTTTTGTTCGGCGTCGGCGGGGCTGACATATGTGTCGCGAAAAAATAAAATCAAGCTTCAAGGTCTGTGCATCTTCTTCTTTGCGTCGCCCATGGCCCATTTTTCTCCGAAGTGCCCCTCCTCTTCATTATTTATACGTCCACGTCTTGTTTTCACACCTGGCCCAACCCTCGGATACCAGCTGAAGAGCGCGAGGCTCTACGCGATTGCCGACCTCGGCCGGGTCACTGAGCAGTCGGCTGCGCCGCGGTCGAGGGCGGCGACCACCTCCGCCGACGACATGACGTCGCCAAACTGCTGGACGAACGTCTCGCACGCGTCGCGATGCTCCTCGTGCGTCAGCGCCGCGCAGCAGTCCTCGACAATCACCGCGCCAAAGTCCAGCATCATGGCGTCCCGCCCCGTTGACTCGACGCACACGTCTGTTTTGCAGCCGGCGAGCAGCACCGTCGTCAGGTCGGCCGAGCGCAGGACGCGCTCCAGCTGGGACGAGCCGCCAATCAGGGCAGAGTAGCGGTTCTTCTGCAGGACGATGTCGGCCTTGTCCACCATCAGCTCCGACCAGATCCGCTGGCCTCGAGCGCCCGGAGACAGCGACTCGACGTACCGCTTCCGGTGGACGCCGGACACAAAGTGGCACCGGAAGGCTGCCCAGTCGTTGTCGCCGGCGCCGAGCACCGTGTTGGCGTGCGCGATCCAGATGACGCGGCCGCCGCGTTCCCTCACCGCACGGGCCAAGGCGTTGATGTTGCCGACGGTGCCGCGGGCGAGAGGCACCTCGACCGCGGCTCCCGCGTCGAGAAAGGTGTGCTGCATGTCGATGATGACGAGCGCGGTGTGCTTGGGCGGCAGCGTCTCGAAGATGTGCAGCGCACCTCTCCGCCTCAGAACCCGCTCCACCACAAAGTCTCGCAGCACACCGTTGGCCGCCTCCTTGGGCGGCAGGACGATGGGAGCGATGGGAGCCCGCCTGCTGCGGCTGAGAAGGAGGTAGACGAGGAGCGCAGCCGCGATAGACGCAGACGCGAGCGGCAGAGAGGAGGTGCTTGCCATGACAATGGCGCTGCGCTGGCCAAGGCGAAAGGCAGCGAGTGTGCTGCAGACCTCCGACGCACACCCGAGCGCCGCGAAGTTCTTTTTTTGCAAGAAAAACGCATTTTTTGTTACGCTCGCAATGTTGCCACGAGGAAAAGCACGAAAAAGAAAGCGCCCCCCCAGTGCAAGAGTCGGAGCCGAGCCGTCACAGCCACCACTCGCCTTCCATGGAGGTTCTCACCAAGTCGCTTGCCGTCGCTGGAGCCTTTGTCGCTGGAGCCGCCGCCGCGGGCGCACTGTACACTTACCTACACGGGCCGAAGCCGATCGTCGAGAAGCCGACGGCCGAGCCGGTGCACGCACCCAACCTTCGCCTTCGCGGAGGCGGTGCCTCGGATCCAGAGGGCGTGATGAAGGTCATAATCAACTTTGCCGCCGCGCAGAGCATTCGTGCGGTTCTTGGCAGCTTGGCCATTGGAGCGTACATCGTGGGGAAGCCGCTGATACTCACGGTCCCTCCGGCGGACTGACTGCTTGGCTTCGCGATCGACATCTTCGTGGGCGCCACTTGCCTCCCGGTCGTGAACCTCGTCAAGACTAAGCCCACGCCCAAGACTTGGGGTCTGTTCTGCGCGTGGTGGGTCCTGAGCGGCACGGATCACCTCGAGGCGGCATGGCTCTCCTCCTCAGTCCCCTACGCGGCCGTCCCATGGCTGGGCCTCACGAAATCCACCTTCATCCTCGTTCCGAGCTTCATCTTTCTCGGGCACCTCGCACTCCTCCCGTCGCTGCTCTTTGGCAAGGAGTCGCTCGCATACTTTGGCGTGAAAGACGATTAGTTAGATTAGGTGCTGGGCAGTGCTGCCTGCAGCTGCGCGTCGGTGCGCGGATGTGCATGTAGAGCTCTAGTCAACCCTTTTTCGGGTCAGCTGTATCTTACTATAAGCCATGCCCATGGCAGGGAGCACCAGCACCGAGTGTTTCCTGAGCATGTGTCCCAGCATGATGATGCTTCTTCCCTTGCGAACCCTGCAGCCTGCTTAGGCATCTGTCTGAGCCGTCATGCGCTATGAAGGGGACGCGTAGCCTGTTTTGCGAGATGCAAAACAGCCCGTTTGGATTTCTCCTTCTTCGATCTGGGGGGTACCCGGGTACACGCGAGCGAGCAGGCCATCGAGCAGGCCATCGCTGCAAGCTGAGCCAAGCTCACGCGCCGTCGCATTCACGCACCATCGCGGAAGTCTGCTGAGCATGCCGCATTCGCTCGCTTACGAGGACAAAGTCCCGTTCGGGACGAACTACCGCACGTCGCTCATCTTCTATGTCAATGGCGCACGGCACGAGGTCCCAGACGCCGACCCGACCATGACGTTGCTCGAGTATCTCCGCTCCGTCGGGTTGTCAGGCACCAAGATGGGCTGCGGCGAGGGTGGCTGCGGCGCATGCACGGTGATGGTGTCCGCGTGCGATCCGGCCACGGGCCACCTGAAGCACGAGTCGGTCAACGCGTGCCTGATGCCTCTCTGCTCAGCAGACTGGACGGCAATCACGACCGTCGAGGGGATCGGCGGCTCGGAGGACGGAGATCTGCACCCGGTGCAGGAGCGCCTGGCCAAGATGCACGGCAGCCAGTGCGGCTTTTGCACGCCGGGGATTGTCATGTCTCTCTACTCTGCGTTGCGAGCGTCGCCGAAACTCGCCATGGAAGAAGTTGCGGATCACCTTGATGGCAACCTCTGCCGCTGCACTGGGTATCGTCCGATCCTCGACGCCGCCAAGTCCCTTTGCGCCGACGCGCCGTGCGGTGGCGGCGGGCCTTGCTGCGCCAGTGGCAGCGGCGACGGCAGCGGCGGCGGCGGCGGCAACGGCTGCGGCGGAGGCAACGGCTGCGCCAATGGCAATGGCTGCGAACATCCTGCCGACCCCAGCGGCCGCCTTCTGGTGGACGGGGACGTGGTGACGGCCACCGCCGACAAGCTGGCCGTCTACTCCTCCGAGCGGTACTGCGACTCGCGCGCGGCAGCAAGCGAGCCGGTGATGCCTACTGCGCTCCTGATCGCGCCCCACGACTTAGTCAGTAAGTCTGAATGTGAATGCTCAGGCGATGCCGAGTGAGCTGTCGGCCGCGCCGTCGCCGCTCTGGATCGCCTCCCCGCGCGCCACCTGGTGGCGGCCGGCCTCTTTGGACGAGCTGCTCGCGCTCAAGGCGGCACACCCGCAGAGCAGGGTCGTCGCCGGCAACACGGAGCTGGGCATCGAGGCGCGGTACAAGAGCCGGCAGTGCGCGACCCTCCTCTCGCCGCGCCTGGTCGCCGAGCTGTACGCTGTCGCCGAGGCGGAGGGCGCTGTATCTCGGGCTACATCTCATCTCGGCGATATCTCGGCCGAACCTCGGCCGAACCTCGGCCGAACCTCGGCCGTCTCGCGGCTAGGCGGAGGGCGCTCTCACACTCGGGGCGTGCGCGAGCCTGACCGCCGTCGAGGCTTGCTGCCCCACGCAAGACCTGTCCGCGCCGCTCGGCGTCGCACAGTGACACGTCCACGACACGTCCACGACACGTCCACGACACGTCCACGACACGTCCACGACACGTCCCGCAGGCTCTCTGCGCCCGCCGCGGCGAGGCGCTGCCCGGCTGCGCGGGCGAGGCGGCACGCGCCATCGCCTGCATGCTCCGCTGGTTCGCATCGACGCAGATCCGCAACGTCGCGTGCCTCGGCGGCACCCTCGTCGCCGCGTCGCCCGTCTCTGACTAATTGAACGTAGCACTGTTGTGAAATTGTTGTCGCTATCGATTAGGCAACCTCGTCACCGCGTCTCCCATCTCGGACATGGTCCCGCTGCTAGTGGCTTGCGGCGCCTCCGTCACCCTCGTCTCCTCCGCCCGCGGCAAGCGCGCCGTGCCGCTCTCGGCCTTCCTCCTCGGCTACCGGAAGGTCGACTTGGGCGAGGCGGACGCTTCACACATCTCACTCCTTGATGAGTTCACCCACTGATTAGGTCGACTTGCGCGAGGACGAGATGCTGCTCTCGGTGCACGTGCCGCGCGCCGAGGGGCTCGAGTTCATCCGGCCCTTCAAGCAGGCGCATGCTCAACCAATTCGCTGATTGGCCGTGGAGGGGCTCCAGTTCATCCGCGGCCCTGCCAGCAGGCGCGGCGCCGCGAGGACGACATCTCCATCGTGACCGCCGGGCTGCGCGTCCGCCTGCAGCCGGCCGGCGGCGTGTACATGGTGGTGGACACGTGCTTCGCGTTCGGCGGCCTCGCGCCGACCGTGGTGGTGGCGCGCAAGGCGGCGGCGGCGCTGGTTGGCCGGCCGTGGGATGCGCAGAGCGTCGAGGAGGCGTGCGCGGCTGTCGTCGACGAGCTGCGCGTCGGCGCGTCTGCGCCGGGCGGGCAGCCAGAGTACCGGACCGCGCTCGCCGCATCGGCCGTCTTCAAGACTTTCGTCGCCACCTCCATCGCGCTTGGCGCCCCGGAGTACCGCTCTGCAGGCGATGCTCCGGCGCCGCCGGTGGTCGACGCGGCGGAGAGGTCGGCAGCTCGCTCCTGGCTGCTCGAGCCAAAGCCGTCGGTGAGCGGCTCGCAGCGGTACACCTCACGCCAGCTACCTTTGGCTATTGAGGAATGAGAAGCCGGCAGCTCGTGACTAAATACATAATAGGTACCCGCACGCCAGCTACCCCGGGCTCGAGGCGGACGTGGCCTCGCCGGACGTCGCGACGTCGTGCATCACCGCGCCGGTCGAGACGGAGGCGGCCAAGGCGGGCGGCGTCCGGGTGGTTGCTACGAGTATCACCTAATGAACGCGAGGAGTGATTGATGAGTATGCAATAGGCGGGCGGCGTCCGGGTGGTTGGGCAGTCGCTTCCGCACCTGGCGGGCGCGAGGCACACCAGCGGCTCGGCCGAGTACACCGACGACGCGCCGCTGCCGCCGGGGGGGCTGCACGCGGCTCTCGTGACCGCGCAGCAGGCGCCCGCGACGATCGAGTCCGTCGACACGGCCGAGGCCGCCCGCCTGTTACATATTCATTACTCAAACAGTACGAGGGTTCAGCACTTTCGTCGTCAGTAGGCCGCCGCATCGGCCGGTGTCGTCCGGATTCTGACGGCGGCCGACGTGCCTGCGGCGGGCAGCAACGCGATGGGGCCGATCAAGCAGGACGAGCTCCTGTTCGCGGAGGGCTCGACAGACCACGTCGGCCAGGTGATCGCGGTCGTCGTCGCGCGCTCTTGCGAGGAGGCGCGCCTCGCCAGCGGCCTATCAGTAATCATGTTGATTGTTCTTGATGGTGATGGGTAATTGGCGCACATAAGGCGCGCCTCGCCAGCGACCTCGTCCGCGTGGCGTATGGCCCGCCTGCTGCCGGGGTGACTCCGTGCTACACGATCGAGGACGCGATCGCCGCGAACTCCTTCTTTGACGAGGAGGGCGGCTAGACACTCCCTAGACACTTCCTAGACACTCCTCCTTCTTTGACGAGGAGGGCCCTTCTTTGACGAGGAGGGCCCCCCCCTCGTCTCGGCCGCGCGATGCGCGCAGGTGCCACCTCGGCTGCCTCTCGGCCGTAGGAGGGCTTCTTCGACTCGCGGCACGAGCTCGAGCACGGCGTGCCCGTCGGCCAAGCGCTGCTCGCGGGAGGGCTGACGGTCGTGGAGGGCGACTTCAAGATTGGCGGGCAGGAGCACCTCTACCTCGAGGGGCAGTATTGACTGATCTAAGGCAAGTCATTAGTTTACTGTGTCAGGAGCATTTCTACCTCGAGGGGCACTGCTCCTTGTGCACCCCGACGGAGGAGGGAGGGCTGCACATCCTGGCCTCGACGCAGGCGCGCGAGATCTCCTGAGATCTCCCGAGACCACCCAAGATCACGCGAGATCACGCGAGATCACCCGAGATCACCCGAGATCACCCCGAGATTCCACGAAAGGTTGCGCGTTCTGGCTTCGGCGCAGGCGCTCGAGAACCTGCAGAAGAGCGTCGCCAAGGCGTGTGGTCTGCCGCTCAACAAGGTCGTCGCCAAGGTGAAGCGGCTGGGCGGCGGCTTTGGCGGCAAGGAGACGCGGGTCGCCTTTGCGCACTGCGCGTGCGCGTTGGCCGCCCACCTGATGAGGCGGCCCGCCCGCCCCATGCCAAACCTCGGCTATTCTCGGCCATCATCTCGGCCACATCTCGGAGCAGGCGGCCCGTCCGCCTCTCGCTGCGCCGCGACCTCGACATGCTCGCCAGCGGCGGCCGCCACCCGTACCTGGCCACGTACAAGGCGGCAGCACGCGTCGACCCGGAGACGGGGGAGCCGAAGCTTGCCGCGCTCGACGTGCAGGTGTGCTACTGCGCCCGCTGCGCACGCCCCCTTCCCTCGCCCCTCTCCAACTCCTCCTCCTCACCACCCCCTCCCCATCTCCACTCCCTCTCCTCTCACCACTCCTTCCCCCCTTGCAACCCCCGCCCAACAACCCTCTAGTTCTACAGCAATGGCGGCGCGTCGCTAGACGTCTCCTCGGCGGTGATGGACCGCTCTCTCACGCACCTCGACAACTGCTACCTCTGGCCCAGCTATCGCGCGAGGGGCGTGGTGTGCCGGACACACATGCCGTCCAACACGGCATTCCGCGGCTTCGGCTCGCCACAGGCTCGCTTGTCCCAGGGCGAGGACCTTCTTCCGCTGCTGCACGACTGCCCGTGCAGCCGCCTTCACGGACACATCCGTCGCGCCCGGAAGCTGACTCAGCCCCCGTCTGATAGAAGTGTGACGCGTTCGCCACAGGCTATGCTGGTTTGCGAGCACATCCTCGAGCACCTCGCGAGCGCGATGGGCGTCAGCGCAGACCGCCTGCGCGCTGCTAACTTGTACGCGGCGGGCGACGAGATGCCGTTCGGCCAGACGCTCGCAGAGGACGAGTGGCGGGTGCCGCGCGCGATGGCGACGCTCCGTAAGGACGCGGACGTCGACGCTCGCGCGGCTGCGGTGGCGGGCTTCAACGCGCAGAATCGGTGGAGGAAGCGAGGCCTCGCGTTCGTGCCGACGAAGTATGGCATCAACTTCTACGCGCGCTTCATGAACCAGGGCGGCGCGCTCGTGCGCTTGAAGTTTGTGTTTGCGAGATGTCGTATCATGCTGTACTATGCATAGGCGGCGCGCTCGTGCACGTCTACACAGACGGCACGGTGCTCATCTCGCACGGCGGCTGCGAGATGGGGCAGGGCCTGCACACAAAGGTGTGCCAGGTGGCGGCGCGCGCCTTCGGAATACCGCTCTCGGCGTGCCACGTCGCCGACACGGCGACGGACAAGGTGGCGAACTCCATCACCAGCGCCGGCTCGCTCTCGACGGACCTGTACGGCATGGCGACCCTCGACGCGTGCCGGCAGATCCTGCGGCGCCTCAAGCCGCTCCGCGAGGCGGTTGGCGCCAAGGCCAGCCTCGCCGAGCTCGCCACCGCCGCGTACTTCTCGCGCATCGACCTGAGCGCACACGGCTACTTCGCGCTGGACGAGCGCCGGTGCGGCTTCGACTTTCGGGCGCCGCCCGGCGTCAAGCCGGACGGCACGCCCGACCAGGCGGCGCGGGGCCTCTGCCACAACTACTTCACGCAGGGCGTCGGCTGCGTCGAGGTTGAGATCGACGTGCTCACCGGCGACCACGAGGTGCGGCGCGCCGACCTGCTCGTCGACGTCGGCTCGTCCATCAACCCCGCGCTCGACATCGGGCAGGTCGAGGGCGGCTTCACCCAGGGCATGGGCTGGACGACCACCGAGGAGCTCCTCTGGGGCGACGACACGCACGGGTGGGTGCAGCCTCGCGGCGGGCTCCACCTTCGCGGGCCCGGCACGTGCAAGACATTCTTGTTTAACCATCAACCCATACATCATAGGCGGGCTCCACTCGCGCGGGCCCGGCACGTACAAGCTGCCGAGCTTCAACGATACGCCGCGCGAGCTGCACGTGCGCCTCATGTCGGGCGTCGACAACAAGGTCGCCGTCCACTCGTCCAAGGCGGTGGGCGAGCCCCCCTTCTTCCTCGGCGCGGTCACCTTCCTCGCGATCCGCAACGCGGCCGCCGCCGCCTGCTCGAGCAAAGGATGAGCCTCCCCAGAACCTTCCCTGAACCTTCTCGGAACTTCCCTGTAGGTCGCCGCCGCGCGCGCAGACCACGTGGCAGGCCCCTCCACGGCACCCCTCACGCTCTTCGCGCCGGCGACTAGCGAGCGCATCCGCATGGCGTGCGGCGACAAGTACGCACGGATGGCCAGCAGCAACGAGGCTGGCGATGTGATGGCAGTGAGAGGCTCCTTCTGAGCTTCTGAAGGGAAGTGTTACGTCGAGCTCGCGGCGGCCGCACGGCCGCATATTGTTAGTTACGTGGCCGTGCACTCAATAGAGAGGGCTTAGAACACCGTGGTTGCTTGCGATTCGGCGCTTGGGGGCTGGCTCGTCTGCGTGTACGCTGGAGGTGTGCTATTTGAGGTTGTGTAGATTTGTCGTTTACTGTGGAATCTCCATGGAGTCCCTCGTGGTAAAAGGGGGTGCAACGCGGGCCCTCAGCGAGAGAGGGCGAGATGCTGTAAACTCGGCCTCGCTGCGCCAACACCCGAGAGGATGGCTGAGTGCCAACGCAACTGCAGATGACGACGTGTGGCATCAATGGTGGCCTTTGGACATCCCAACCATCACACAAGACAGCCTGTAGGTGATGGCCGGACGGCGCAGTGTTTGTGGCACTCGGCAGTAGGCACCCGCGGCACGGCCCCGCTGTCGGCTCTCGCGGGCTGCGGAACCGGCCCCAGAAGGAGCCGGTCCGGGCGAGTGTGGCAGCTCCTGCGCTAGTATGGGCACCCTCTATCACTTGAGCAGCGTGGGCGGACATCTTGCCGACCATCGTGGAACGCGCGCCCAAGACTCGCGTTGCAACAAACGATAGTATCTACGTTCCCCTCGTCTCGCGCGTGATCGCGAAGCGCAGCACGCACGCGCTGAAGTCGCGTGCCGCGATGCCGTTCGTGTTTCCTGCCGAGTCGAGATGGTGCCGCTCGTGCATCTCGTAGAGCGAGACGACGAGGAGCGCCGCCCGCGTGCGCGCCGCCGGGGGGAAGAGCGAGTGGCTTGCCGGCGACCACGGCGCCGCCGCCCGCCGAACCAGCGCCGCCGCCTCGCCCTCGCCGCCCGCGGCGCGCTGCAGCGGCGTCGGCTCGCCCTCGTGCAAGCTTGCGCCGCTGCGCAGCAGGGAGAGAGCGCGGGCGGCGGTGAGGCTCTCAAGGTGCGCGAGCGGCGTCCAGCCGCGGCTGGCGACCAGCCAGGCGGCGAGGTCGGCGTGGCCGCGGCGGTTCGCAACCTCCTCAGGCGTGCCGAAGGGCGTAGCGGCGCGGGAGGCGCCGTAGGAGGAGAGGAGCTTGGCGACCTCGAGGTGGCCGGTCTCGCATACCAAGGACAGCGGCGTGCCGCCATCCTCCTTGGCTTGGTCCATCGCCGCGCCGGCCTCGAGAAGCAGCCGGACGATGTCGACGTGGCCCTTCTCGCACGCCATGCACAGCGGCGTGGCGCCGTCCTCCTCGGCTTGGTTGACCGCCGCGCTTCCCTCGAGAAGCAGCTTGGCGACCTCAAGGTGCCCCTTCTGGCACGCGATGTACAGCGGCGTGAAGCCTTCAGAATCTGCTTGGTTCACCGCGGCGCCGGCGGCGATCATCAGCCGGACGCACTCAAGGTGGCCATGCTGGCACGCAACGAACAGCGGCGTGTAGCCTTCAGCGTCAGCTTGGTCGATCGCCGCGCCAGCCTCGAGAAGCAGCTGGGCGCACTCGAGGTGGCCCTGCCAGCACGCGACGAGCAGTGGCGTGACGCCGTCGCGCGCAGCTTGGTTGATCGCCGCGCCAGCCTCGAGGAGCAGCCGGGCGATCTCGAGGTGGCCCTTCTGGCACGCGATGTACAGCGGCGTGAAGCCCTCGTCACGGGCTTGGTCGACTGCCGCGCTGGCCTCGAGGAGCAGCCGGGCGCACTCGAGGTGGCCCTGCCAGCACGCGGCGCACAGCGGCGTGGCGCCTTGGGTCTGGGCTTGGTTGACCGCTGCGCTAGCCTCGAGGAGCAGCCGGGCGACCTCGGGGTGGCCGTTCTGGCACGCGATGAGCAGCGCCGACGCGCCGCCGCTGCTACCACCGCCGCCGCCCGTCGTCGCCCCGACGCTCGCGCCAGCTTCGAGCAGCAGCCGCACCGCGTCGGCCTGCCCGTGCCGAGCCGCCCAGGTCAGCAGCGTGTCCTGCTTCTCGGTGTCGAGCCGCGCGTTGAGACTGCCGCGCGTCCGCCGGCCGGAGAGGTGGGCGTGCAGCGAGGCGAGGTCGGCGGCGGCGATGTCGGCGAGCAGCGTGGCGGGCGGGCTCGCGGCGGGCGCCATCACCGAGTCGAGACGCGGCGGCTACGTCAGAGAGGGCGGTGTGTCGCACGGCGCCCGCCAGCGAACGGCTCTCTCGTTTGCGCACGGGCGTCGAGGCGGACGCGCGCTTGGGCGGCGTCCTTGGGCGGCCCGCGCGCCGACGACGACCCGGCGCAGCCGCTGAGATCTGTGCGGCTCGAGAGCCCCGGTCGGAGGGCGGACCACCAGACTGCCGGGCCTGGCCGGCGAAAAAGAAAACGCGCGCAGCTTCTCTCACCAGGCGCCCTAAAATCCCTGTGTGGTGGGCGCCGGACCTCCTCGAGCACTGGCCGGACCACACACGGGTACATCGTGCGCATCCAGTAGTGCGGCGTTGAGCTGCGGCAGCGCATCATCGAGTATCGCAGCTGCCGGACATCGTGGTTCTTGTCGTTTTAGGTGTATTGTTGGCAGACAAGACTCAGAGCTCACACAGAATCACAGCGGGAGGAAAGCGGCGAGTCGCAATTCCAGGGGTCGTTGTGTCGTCGTCGCGAAGCTGGTCAACCCTCTCGAGGACCGAAAAGCGCACCGTAAAGTCAGCCGAGAGGTTGTCGCGCTGCTGTTTTTTTGGTCACTTCCGCCCGGCCTCCGTGAAAGAAAGAAAGAAAACAGACCAAGGGAGGGACGGGAGGACGGCACAGCGCGGTAGGCACTCGGGGTTTGGCCAGATCGGCGTGTTCACGCCGCGATCATGTCCTGAGTAACCTATGTATGTATGTATGTAACCATTCGCGGCGACGAGTAATCGAGAAGAGAAACACGGAACAGAAAGAGAAACACGCTGTTCGAAGACTTCTGACGGTTGGTGTGTTTAAAAAAAGGAGAAAAGAAATTTTTCAGTGAGATCGCCGAGATGGCACGCTCTTCATCAAGGTCGCCGATTGACACGCGCTCCAAGGCAAGCGCTTTCGAGTGAGTCGCTGTACCCCGGCTTCTCCGTCCTTGCAGGGCTCGAGATGACACGCCGAGAGAAGCCCAGAGAGCGACCGGGAGACCGCTGACATCGCCGAGAGACCGCTGACATCAGCTGCGCTCGGCAAGCTTGCTCGCCGCACGCGCGACGTCCGGCGCCGCGACTCACCGCCGGCCCTGCCTGTGCTTGCAGAAGCTCCAGCTTTGCCGACGAGATGTGCGACGTGGAGGATGTCCTTGCCGGCTGCGATCTCACAGAGATCGCAGAGCAGTACGAGTCCGGCGCGTGCTGCCGCTCTGACGTCGACTACGGATACGGCTTTACTTGTTTCGTCCCGATCCTGATGATGCTGCTCTTCTCCGTCCTCTCGCGGAACCCGCCACTGTCGATGGGAACGGCCATCTGGATTGGCTGGTGCATCAAGGCGCCGCCCACATCTCACCATGCCCAACTTAACCGCTCGCCTAGCACATCACCCAAGATCACGCCCTCTCACCGCCGGTCGCCGCCGCTCTAATCACAACAGGAGGGCAACGCGTGGGCCGGCTTCCGCGGCTTCTTCGACACTGCCCTGAGTGCCGCCATCGATGGGTACTCCCAAATATTCGTCTTCGTCTTCCTGATGCAGATGATTGTGGGCGCGGGACACCGCTCCGGGGGCTTCCAGGCGCTCGCCCTCCCCTCGCCACCGGCCGCGAGCCCGCCACCGCCGCTCTCGACGCCACCTTTGCCACGTCCAGGCGCTTGCCGACCTCATGTCTAAGGGCATCAAGGACTCCTTCATGTGCCAGTTCTTCACCTGGCTCTTCGGATTCGTGATCTTCTTCGACGACTGTGCGTTGGCCGCCCCGGGCCCCACGACCCGACCGCCCATCGCACGTCTCACCCTGGCCCCTCCTCCCCGCGCTCACGACCCGACCGCCCATCGCACGTCTCACCCTGGCCCCTCCTCCCCGCAGACGCCAACACGCAGGTCGTCGGCGCGTGCATGCTCTCGGTGGCACAAAAGATGCGCGTCTCCAAGGAGAAGCTTGCCTTCACGGTCGACTGCACCGCCGCGCCGGTGGCGTCCCTTCTGCTCGTCTCGACGTGGATCGCCTGTGCGCTCCGGCCGCTCTCCCGAGACGAGACAGAGCTCCCTCGGCACCCCCGAGAACGAGACTCAGCTCCCTCACCCGAGCGCCGCCCTCCCACCGCTCACAGACGAACTACAGCAGATCGGAGACGCCCTGGCACTGACGACCCCGCCGTACACGAGTGCGACCGCAACAGACGTCTTCCTGAAATCGGTTCGGAGCGCGCGGCGTCCCGTCATGCGAAACGCGTCCTCCCCGTGACTGCCGCTCGCTTGCTCACAGGTGCCTTACCGCTTCTACTCGTGGTTCATGCTCTTCTTTGTGGTCATCATGGCCATCTCGGGCCGCGACTGGGGACCAATGTACTTCGCCGAGCTGAAGGCGCGCAAGGAGGGCTGGGAAGAGAACAAGCTGGTCGCGACCGGACCGTCGGACTCGATCGAGCCCGTCAAGGCGAAGGCCGGCATCCCCAAGGGCCGCTGGTGGAACGGCGCTATCGTGCCCGTACTCTTCCTGGCCACTATCCTCCCCTTCCTCGAATACAGCGGCGACGAACTCGACGCGATGGAAGGCAAAGCAGACGCGGCCGCCGATCCCAACGTCACCTGGTCTGGGGTGCTCAACCCCGCCCCCCCCCCACCCCCCGCCGCCCTTCTCCCCCCCTCCCTCTTCACCCCTCTGTCCGTCCTGGCGTACAGGACTTCGTCGACATCATTGGCAACGCGGACAGCTGGGCGGTCCTCTCGTGGGTTGGCGGCCTCGGCGTCATCGCGGTTACCCTCCTGTACTTTGTGCAGTGGATCCCCGTCCCCGAGGGAGACGACTCGTGGGTCGGTAAGAAGGTTGGCAAGGTGCCGCTCATGTGGCCGGCTGAGGTCATCAAGGCGGGCTGCCATCAGATGGGGTGCGCGCGTGACCCTGCGATAGACCCCCCTCCCCGGTCCGCCCTGTGCTGAGCAGAAAGCACACGCGCATTGCAGGTCCCTCTTCGAAGTCGTCTGGATCCTCATCTTCGCAAAGTCCATCGCCAAACTCTCAGAGGAGCTCGGAATGCCCGACTACCTCGGATGCGCCCTCAAGGGCACGGATCCCGCCATCGTTCCGGCTATCACTTTTGTGCTCGCCTGGCTCTGCTCGCTCGGCACTGGCACGTCCTGGCGCGTGCTTGGCGCGTGTGCGGGGGACTGCCCGCGCGCTCTCCACCCTCAGCGCCTGCGTTGCCTCGCAGGGGTACCATGGCCGTCATGTTCCCGATCTCGATCCCGCTGGCCATCAACCTGTCCCGCGACGAGGGCATCGAAGACGGCTCTGACGAAGGTCTCAACATCCTCTATACCACCGCCGCCGCCGTGCTGGGCGGCTCGGTGTGGGGCGACCACTCCTCCATCGTGTCGGACACCACCTGCCTCGCCGCGGCGGCTTGCCAGTGCAGCGTCTTCGACCACTTCAAGACCCAGATCCCGTGCGCGCCCCTTCTTGCGCCCTGCCCCGCAACAAGTGACAGTCGTTCTCATGCTAGCCACACACGGGCTGCAGGTACTCGATGTTCTGCGGCCTCAGCGCGCTCCTCCTTGGCTTCCTGCCCACCGCCTATGGAATGCCGGCGGGTCTGGGCATCTTCTTCGCGCTCTCTGTCGCCCCAGCCATCTCGATTGCGATCTCCTACATCCCTGGCTTTGGTTCGCCAGAACCGCGGCCCCGCTCAATGTCCACCTTTGCGCCCACAGCCCCACACCCACGCCTGCCGGCTGCAGGCGGCGCTGTCCCGACGTACTCGCCAACCAGCGGCGAGATCGGGACCGGCATTTGGGGCATCAAGGCGTCCGTCATGTCGTACTGCAAGACCGCGCCAGACCCAAAGGTCGACGCCAAGGCTGAGGCCCGCGTGACTGAGGCTTCTGAGGCCGCGTGACTTTCTTCGGCAGAACGGAGCGCGATATGAGACAGCTGTCTCCATCGCGCATTGGGCCGAGTGTACAACTTGGTCGTGTGCACGGGATCGATCTTGGCCCCGAGCCGACCGATAGGCGAGCCGTGGGCGGGCGGAGTGCCCGGCAGCGACCAGCGTGACGTTGACGCTCAAATCAGAGCGCTGTACATTTGCGGTATGACTACCGTATTGACTATCTATTGTCACGTCGCGCTGGTATGTGAAGGGCGCTGTGTGTGCTGTTGATCTGTGTTTTGATTAGGCTTGTAGAGTAGCTGTGTTCGTAGTTTACTTTACATCCGCGCCCTGCTGTCTGCGATATCCGCCGCTACCGCCGACGGGCGCGCGAGAGCAGGCCTCTTTTGCGATCGGGCGCGCGAACTCCCTGCCCAATGTAATAAGCTTCCCGAAGATCGACCATCGAGAGGTTCTTCGGTCTCCCTCGTCCATCCCTTCTCCCACCCTGAGCCGCGCGACCGGCGCCGTCGGTGGGACGTGGGAGCGGTCGTGCCCCCCGCCGCCCGCGCCGCTAGAGAGGCGCCTCACGGCTTTGTCGCGCTTTGCTCCGATTTCCAAAAAAGAATTCTGGCGTGGCCCGGAGCAAATCTTGATTCTGGACACATGGGGGCGATGCGTCAAGAAGAAAAGGTTCAACAAGCTCGAGAAGAAGAAAAGCAGATCTTCATGATTGCCCCTGGGAAATCTTTCTTACAAAGGACGTACGGTACGGGGGACGTCCATCCACTGGGACATGAGAGTAATGGAAAGATGAGGTCGAATCTGCTGATTCAACAGCCGCCCAAAGGAGCGACGCCTCAACACGGGGTCTCGGCTCGCTATCGAGCCATGCTAGCTCCAGCCGCCCGCACCCGGCCGCCCGAGGCCCGACGGTGTTCCCGCACGCGCAGGCAGAGAAGACTAATCCTGGGGGAAGCAACCATGAACCAAACGCGATGGGTTGGGGGAACGGGCGGGTTGCCGCAGCCACACCAGTGCACTCCCTTGGTGCTACTGCTTGGACCTTAGCCGTCCTCGTCAGCATTGCGGCTCGATGCACGATGGGAGAAGGCTGAAGCCGGTGAAGGCGAGAGTGACCCCGCACGATCACAGAGATCACTGATCAGTGATCAGCTCACCGCACGCAGCATATAAACCATTCGCAAAACCATATAATACACACAAAATCTCAGAGCATTGAGGTTGAGGACGGCGGAGGAGCACACGGCCACGCGCGCGCTCGCACTAACGTGAGTCTGATCCGATCTGGCCGCGCATGTGAGGGCGCCCCCTCCAAAAAGAGACCTAGAGAGGCAGCCAGCGCGGCCCAGAGGCAGCAGAGATGCGCCCTCGGGGGGGAGGAGGGGTGGAGGCTGCCTCACGGCGCGACCAGGTTTGCGATCTTCATCCGGTGCCCCTTGGATCGCACGCCGAGCTCAAGCAGCACCTGCCGCGCAGCGGGGCGCGGGGAGGTGGGGCTAGGGGGGCACGAACTGCAGCGAAGCGGGGCGCGGGGAGGTGCGGCTAGGGAGGCACGAAACGGAGAGGGCAGACGGCACGGGCGGTGGCGGACGAGCGGCAGACATAGGCAGTGCCCGGGCAGTCTCTCAGACACTCTCTCCTTTGTAGGCAGCCTCTGGCAGTGCCCGGGCAGAGTCAGGCAATCCCTCCAAGCGAGTCTCGGACACATTCTCAGGGCAACTCTCTCTCTCTGGCTGTCGGCCGCGCCTCCTCGAGCGCGGTGCGGCCCTGCGACTCCATCACACCATACAGCGTCTCTGCGTCCATCGCCTAGTGGCCCGAGATCACCCGAGATCGCCCCGAGATCGCCCCGAGATCACCCCGACGTCAGCGTCTCTGCGTCCATCGCCTCCTCCTCGAAGCTCGCCAGGTACTGCGGCAGCGCCGCCGCCTATTCGGCGCCATCTCGGCGTCATCTCGGCTTCAACTCGCGTCCTAATCTCGGCGCCCTCTCCGGCGCCCTCTCGGCTGACTCTCCACTACATCTCGTCATCCTCTCGAAATCCTCTCGGCGCCCTCTCGGCCACAGTACGCACTGTCGACTGCGGCGCCGCCTCGAGGAGCAACACCGCCCACGCGTGGCCTCCTCTCGGCGTAACCTCTCCTCGGCGTAACCTCTCCTCGGCGTAATCTCTCGGCTTCGACTCTCGGCGTAATCTCTCGTGGTCCTCTCTCGGACCTCGAGCAGCGACGCCACCGACGCGTGGCGCGGCGCGCCGGCGGGCGGCGCGGCGGACGGCTGCTGGGGCGGCATCCGCGCGTCAAGCTCGAGCTCGAGCTCCTATTGGAGATGTGGCGAGACGTGGGGAGATGTGGGGAGACGTGGGGAGATGTGGGGAGATGTGGGGGGATGTGGGGAGATGTGGGGGGATGTGGGGAGGTGTGGGGAGGTGTGAGGAGGTATGGGGAGGTGTGGGGAGGTGTGGGGAGATGTGGAGAGGTGTGGGGAGGTGTGGGGAGGTGTAGGGAGATGTGGAGAGGTGTGGGGAGATGTGGGGGGATGTGGGCAGGTATGGGGTGGCGAAAGAAGGTTCCGCATCAGACTCCGGCTCCTTGCGTCGCTCCGCGGCGATAGACTCTCGCACCATCCTCTCCACCTCGTCCTTGAAGGAGTCGTTGTACGCCGTCTCGCGGGCGAGCAGCGCAGCAACCTACTCTCGAGATGGGACATGTCACCGGTCAGTACCAGGCCTACCATGCCGCCGTCTCGCGAGCAGCAACCTACTCTCGGCTCCTCGCGGCGGTCCACTCCGCGCCTCTCACCCCGAGCAAGCAGCCGCCGCTTTCCCGACCCCCTCGTCCGGCTTGGCGCCGCCGCCGGCCGGGAAGGAGTCCTACGTGCCATACCTCCAGAGTGCCGAATCCGGTGCGGGGTCAGTCCCGTGGGTGGCGAAGGAGGCCTGCTTCGCGTGCGACACTCCGAGGCTGCCCGCCAGCGCGCTCGCCAGCGCCTCCTCCTCCACCGACGCTGCCGGTGTCGGGCCGCACCCGGGCGCGCACCCCGGCGCTGCAGCGGCGGCGCGGCTGGCAGAAGCGAGGAGACGGGCAGAGGCAGTGAGGAGAGAGCGGGCGGTGAGCGGGCGGTGAGGGGGAGCAGGCTGCGAAGGATTGAGGCACGTGCCGGAGCGAGCGCGAGGGGGCGTCTCGGACGTGTCTCGGGGGCCTCTCTCTCTCTCCTCTCTGCTGGGAAGTGTCTCGGAGGTGTCTCGGAGGCGTCCCCGCGCCTGCGCTGCGAGGGTCGAATCTGCGCAGCGACGGCGAGCGGGTCGACGGTCTCGTCTAGCATGTCGAGTGCGGTCTTGGCCGAGGCGGCGCGCTCGGCCTGGTACGCGCGAGTGGAGAGGAGCTGCGACGAGTCGAGCACCTGGGCGCGCACCGCATCGCGGCGTGAGTGCGCCCTCTCGGAGAGGTGGTGGTGGCCGAGGCGGCGCTGTACATAGCCCGACGGGAGCGAGGGTGGCGGCTTCTTCTTGATCTCCTCGAAGGTCGGCTTGGCGAGCACGACGTGGTCGGAGGCGAGCCTGCCGCACGCAGCACAGTACAGCGCCTGCGTGTCGTTCCAGCCCCAGACACCGGTCGTCTGGCCGGGCGCCTGGAAGACGTACTGCTCGCAGATGTGCGGCCCCTCGACGTGCTCGCCACGCTTGAAGCCGTTCAGATCCTCGTTCGTGGGGTGGGCGCCAGGCATCGGCATGGCTCGGACTAGAGGAAGTGTTTGCGTCGAGCGCGACCCAGCGTGCGAGAAGCGGACCACAGCGAACTCCGCCGGTTTTCTTCTTTCTCCGTCCTTCTTTCTTCGGGAGTGCTGGGGGGGGCGACAGGGAGAATGTGGCCCTGAGTTATGTGTACGCCAACTCAGGGTGTGTGGCAGCCAGCTGGCTGTGTGTCTTGTGAGCCTGTTTGTGCCTGTGTGTCGCTCGTGCGTGTCGTCATCATCTGTCTCGCGTCCACCCATACCGCGTTGGTGTCCAGTCCGAGCCTGACTGTTGTTCATCTTTCTACATACATACATCTTCTTCAACAGCTCGTCATCATCTGTCCAGCGTCCACCCATACCGCGTTGGTGTCCAGTCCGAGCCTGGCTGTTCTTCAGACTTCACCTTTCTACCTACCTAACAGCTCATCTATCGAGGTCTATATGTGGTATGCTCGTACGGCTTCATGTGCGGCTTCATTACGTACGGCTTCATACGGCACGACCATGCGGCATGATTATTATCGAGTGGCGCGAGGCGCAAGGGCGGCGGCAGCACGTTCAACTTCCAGCGGACGAGCCCACTGCCAGCGGCGGCCGAGGTGGCCGCGGCGGTCGCGGCGGGCCCGGCCGTGCCGCCGCCGGCCGAGGCGCTGGCGGCCGCGGTGGGCGCGGCGGCCGTGGCGGATCGTCGACGCGAGCGAGTGATGGGTAATCGTGGCCGTGGCCAAGAAAATCAAAATATTAAGCTCTCTGTTTGGACCACGGTGAAAAACTCGACGGTTTTGGGCGTTTCAGAGCACGCTGAATCGATTGGCTGAGCTATAATTCTCGCCAGCCCTTTCCTTTCATAATTATTGACTCAAAACTCGATGATCGCGCGACTTTGGAGCCGTTATAGCTCAGCCAAAACGTTCCTCTCGAAACATTGACTTAGGAAGCCGCAAACGGCAGCTTCTGAAAGACTCACCGGCGCTTATTCTCTTGATCTTTCAAAACCTAGGCCTGCGGCCAAAATTTTCTAAAGGCCGCTGCGCGGCCAGCGCAATGCGCAACCAGTCAGCGACCGACAGTCAGCAGCAGACTGTGACGATTGGCGGCCTCGCGCCCTCAGTCGACCTCCTCTACCAACTCCCCTGCCCAGCCCATATGCCTCATCCACGGTGGCGCAACCACTCGCGCAGGGAGAGAGAGAAAGTCGGCGATCTGCGCCGTGCAGATGAGCTCCGCCTCGTCTGCGTCGAGGACGCCCATCGCAGGGCTGTCATATAGCGCCATTGCATATGACGTACTGCATGTTGTTCATTACTTCGCAGGTGCCAAAGTCGAGGATAAACTCACTCAGCGATGGCGAAAGCTGCACTCCCGGCCGGCGGTAGGAGAGATGAAGGCTAATGTACTTCGCAGTGTACGGTGCCTTCCGGCGCGAACAGTGCCCGGGACGAAAGAGGAGGCGACGTCTCCCTCGTCCATGGACGGTGTAGCCAGCTTGAGAGACGGGAACGAACGGCGGTGAATCGCCGACAGCGGCGCCTTCGTTCCTTTCCAGTGAATCGCCGGCGGGTGCCCTGAGCGTTGTATCTGTCGGCCAGTTGCCGCACCGCCGGCAGCAGCTCCGCAGCAGCCGCCCAGATGGCGCCGGTTAGGACAGGAGCGAAGCCGCGTGGACACGGCTGAGCGACGCCGTGCGTCTCGTTTGGATGCTGCAGGCATGCCGGGCAGCGCGCGTGCTCCATACCGCGCGTCGGGCGCCCGCCGAAATCTTCGATTTCTTTGGCGTAGGAGACCAAAAACCCTGAAAATTTTCTTCGCCTGCGGCGGGCAATTAATTTCGCTACTTTCGCGTTCACAGCTCTTTCACACGACTTTATCCGTCACTCGCTCACTGCTGATTGTGGTGATTGAGCTGGTCAGATCAGCGCTAAACGTAGATTTCACTGTGTGGGTTTCAAGAGCCGCCGGGTAAAAGGCGCACACAAGGCGACAGCCGCCCGGCTGAACTATTCAAAGTCTCCCCACCAGCGGCCATCGTCGCCCTGCAGGTATTTCAGGAAAACGCTCGCGGGCATCTCCTCGCCCGACCAATCGGTAGTGATCACGAGTGCTATGCTGAAGTCGAGCGTCGCGAGGATGAGAAGCTCCTCCCTGCCTGCTGGGCAGCTGCCTGCCTCTTGGCCGGCAGCGTAAGGCAGCGTCTTCTTGTCGAAAAGGAGCATCTGCATGCCGCGCTCACCGCCGGGGGGACGGCAAGTACCGTAGATCTCTGCCGTCTCGTAGATCTTCACAGTCTGCATCGTTGGCGTCGTGACGTATACGCTCAGCAGCGTCTGCGCATCGGAGTAATCGTGATCGTAAGCGCTTCCAAAGTACACGTCTCGCCCAATACTGTCAATAGCGTCGGCCTTGCCCTCCAGCTCCTCGGCAGTCATGATGCCCATCCACGACTGTCGGGCTCCAAACGGCGTGGGCTCGCAGCCCTCTTTAGGCTCGCCGTCAAAGTCGAAGCCGAGGTCGTCAAACCGCTGCAGCCTCAGGCAGGACGCGCGTACCGCAAGGCTTCCGCCTCCGTCAAGACGGACACCCCAGCGCTCGCCTCGCTGCTCGATGACGCGACCCTTCTGCCCGTCTGCGGCGCGCAGAGGCGAGGGTGATGGTCAGCATTAGAGCGCGTGCACGCGGGGCTCAAGAGCGATATTGCGCACTGTACTGCGGCGACGCAGATAGCCCGTGTATCACGACCGGACTGTGAAGAGTAATCGGTGCAGGGACCAAGGTGCCCTCAAAGGTGAACGTGAAGTCTTCGAGCTGCGTGCCGGCGTTTGGCGAAGGCTGGAGGCAAATCGGCGAAGAACGCAACGAGACGACATTCAGCATGCAGCGGTACGTGTCGTGGGCACCCAGTTTCAGGGAGCCACACTTGAGTTCTGGGAACCGGGCGACGAGAAGCGCCCTCCAGACGCTCTCTGACGTGCGCAGCAGCAGCTGCCAAGCGGAGCACGTACCCATCATGGCGAGAGCATCGCGGGCAGCCACGGCGCGCGCGGCCTTGAGGAGTTGGTATCGCTTCTTCGAGAGCTTGTCTTGCTCGGCCCGAGGGAGTGAATAATACGACTCCCTGACGCTCGCTTCGTACTGGAAAGCGCTCGCGGTGGGGTCGACCGTGCAGTTGAATGAGGCGATGCTGTCCAATGCGTCAGCGGAGAGTCTTGCAATTGCGGGCGCCTCGTCGAGCGACAGCGCCGCGACGTCCAGTGCGAGTTGCTCCGCCATTGTATTCACATTCACAGCTGTGCTCATGTGCTGGGGCCCGACCCGTGCGGACCTCTCGTGGGGCAAGAAACCCATTCCGCCGAGCTAAAGGTGCGTTTCTCTGTAGGTATAGCAGCTGTGAATGTGAGCTTGCACGTGCATCTCTGCTGCATGCGTCATGCCGATGCCCGTCTCCATATGCACATGCCAACTCACGGTAAACAACAGGAGAGGGACCGTCGCGGCGGTGCCAAGGTGAGAGGTGTACACACACACACACGACCCCTGTGATTTTGTGTGAGCTATGTGTCTTGCTTCGCCAACAACATACCTACACACACACACACCAAGGTGAGAGGGGCTGGCAGCACCGCTCCCCAACTCCGTCTCGCGCGTGATCAAAGTCGCGCGCCGCGATGCCGTTCGTGTTTCCTGCCGAGTCGAGATGGTGCCGCTCGTGGATCTCGTAGAGCGGGAGGACGAGGAGCGCCGCCCGCGTGCGCGCCGCCGCGGGGAAGAGCGAGTGGCTTGCCGGCGACCACGGCACCGCCGCCCGCCGGATCAGCGCCGCCGCCTCGCCCTCGCCGCCCGCGGCGCGCTGCAGCGGCGTCGGCTCGCCCTCGTGCAGGCTTGCGCCGCTGCGCAGCAGGGAGAGAGCGCGGGCGGCGGGGTGAGGCTCTCAAGGTGCGCGAGCGGCGTCCAGCCGCGGCTGGCGACCAGCCAGGCGGCGAGGTCGGCGTGGCCGCGGCGGTTCGCGGCCTCCTCGGGCGTGCCGAAGGGCGTAGCGGCGCGGGAGGCGCCGTAGGAGGAGAGGAGCTTGGCGATCTCTAGGTGGCCGAAGTGGCACGCGACGAGCAGCGGCGTGCAGCCGTTCTCCTCGGCTTGGTCGACCGCCGCGCCAGCGTCGAGGAGCAGCTGGGCGCATCCGAGGCGGTGGTTCTGGCACGCGACCATCAGCGGCGTGACGCCGTCGTTGCGGGCTTGGCTGACCGCTGCGCTGGCCTCGAGGAGCAGCCGGGCGCACTCGACGCGGCCCTCTTGGCACGCGATGAACAGCGGCGTGGCGCCATCATCCGTGGCTTGGTTGACCGCCGCGCCCGCCTCGAGAAGCAGCCTCTCGATCTCGAGGTGGCCCCGCCAGCCCTCCTGGCACGCGATGAACAGCGCGGCGCGGCCGGTGCCGGTCGTCGCCCCAACGCTCGCGCTGCCCTCGAGCAGCAGCCGCACCGCCTCGGCTTGCCCGTGCCGAGCGGCCCAGGTGAGCAGCGTGTCTTGCTTCCCGGTCTGTAATCGCGCGTCGAGCTGGGCCGTGAGCGACGTGCCGCGCGTCCCCTGCCCGGAGAGGAAGGCGCGCAGCGCGGTCAGGTCGCCCACCGCCAGCTCGCCCCGGCTGATGGCGCCGCTCATGCCCGGCCGCCAGACGAAGACGGCGCCGCTCATGCCAGGCCTCTCTCGCAGCACAACCCGCGGCGGTTCCAAAGTGAGAGGGTACCACATGCGTTTTGCGTGCTCGGCCGAGCACGCAAAACGCGCCGCGAGAAGCCTGAGCATCCCCTCCTTCGCGGCTTCTCACCGCCCCGGCGCCCACATCTCGATCTTCTTGGGCAGAAGCTGGTTCGCAGTGTCGTCTCCGTGGCCCAACTGGCCGAGGCCTCCGAAGCCGCAGCTCCAAACGGCTCCGTCGGCAATGATGGCGAGGCTGTGCTGGCCTCCCGCCGACATAGCGACGACGCGCAGGTCAGCCAAGGCCTCGACCTTCTTCGGCAGCAGCTGGTTCTGCTCGTCGCCGTGGCCCAAACGGCCTGCGTGGCCCCAGCCCCAGCTCCAGACGGCGCCGTCGGCGGCGAGGGCGAGGTTGTGCTGGCCTCCAGCCGACACAGCGACGACGCGCAGGTCAGCCAAGGCCTCGACCTTCTTGGGCAGCAGCTGCGGCTGCTCGTCGCCGTGGCCCAACCGGCCAAAGCTTCCCCAGCCCCAGCTCCAGACAGCGCCATCGGCGGTGAGGGCGAGGCTGTGGCCGTTTCCAGCCGACACGGCGACGACGCGCTGACCAGCCAAGGCCTCGACCTTCTTCGGCTGCCGCTGGTTCTGCGCGTCGCCGTGGCCCAGCTGGCCAGAGGCTCCACAGCCCCAGCTCCAGACAGCGCCATTGGCGGTGAGGGCGAGGCTGTGCGCGGCTCCAGCTGACACAGCGACGACGCGCAGGTCAGCCAAGGCCTCGATCTTCTTGGGCAGCAGCTGGGTCTGCTCGTCGCCGTGGCCCAGCTGGCCCCAAACTCCACGGCCCCAGCTCCAAACGGCTCCGTCGGCGGTGAGGGCGAGGCTGTGCCATAGTCCCGCCGACACAGCGACGACGCGCTGGCCAGCCAAGGCCTCGACCTTCTTCGGCAGCAGCTGGTGCTGCTGGTCGCCGTGGCCCAACCGGCCGTCGCCTCGATCGCCCCAGCTCCGGACGCTGCCGCTGGCGGTGAGGGCGAGGCTATGCACGGCTCCCGCCGACACAGCGACGGCGTACTCGCCGCCCAGCGTGGTGGGAGGGAGGCGGGTCGGCGTGTTGAGCCGCGTCACGCCCTCGCCGTGGCCGAGGAGGGGGTGATCCGCCGCGCAGCCGCACGACGAGAGCCGCCCCTCGCCGTCGATGAAGACGCTGTGCGTATAGCCTGCCGCAGCCCTCGCCGGCGGGTTGGACTCGCACAGCAGCGCCGCGAAGCACAGCCACCGCACGATGCAGCTCTCGCCCTCGGGCTGCGCCGGCAGCTCGAAGCCGCGCTCTTGCGCCCACAAGCGGATGCTCTCCACCGCGAGCGAGGCGTGGAAGAGGAGCGAGACGGCCGCGACGCGAGCGATGTCGGCGGGGTCGCAGCGAGAGAGGGCGCGCGCGAGGAGCTCCGTGGGGAGGTCGAGGAGGTGGACGGGCGGCGGCGTGCTTGGCGAGAGAGCGGTGGAGACGGCGGCGAGGCGGCGCGAGGGGCGGCGCGGCGGGGTGGACATAAGCGAGAAAAGAAATCACCGTGTTTCTTTTTGTTTCTCTTCTTTCTTTTTTCACAACATATATCGGAGTCAATCGCGAGGCTCTTCCCCAGTGAGAGGGTACCACATGCGCTTTCACCACATTGCGCTTTGCGAGCTTGGCAGCACGACACCAGAAAGAAGAAAAACCCGCGCCGGCACATCATCTCGCCGCCTCATGGCCATGCGGGTCATGAGGTTTGTGCAACACCAGGTTAGAGTACTCGCATGCTCTTCCCCAGGCGCCAAACAACCTCGAGCAAACAACTTCTCATAAATACTAGACCATGCGATAGTGAGGCAACCCGTAGAGCAGCAGCGAGCTCGGCGGTCGCTCGACGTCCGGGTTCGCACCACCGCCTGGCGGCGGCAACTCCTCTGGCTGCTGCAGCTCGTGGCGTGCGCGCACCGCTTCGCCCGCCGTCTTGCCCTCGCCGAGCTGGCCGAGTAGCGCGGTGAGCGCAGCGTGCCTCTCCGCGGGCGCGGCCGCCCAATGGTGGAGCACCACCGTCCTCACACCGCCGAGGGAGAGGAGCGCGGCCGTCGCGTGCGGCTCCTCGAGCGCGAGGCGAGCCGCGTCCTTGGCGTTCGCCTCTCGCGCTATGCGCCGGCTCGAGAGGCTCGACTCTTGCGCATCAAAGAGCAGGCAGCCGGCGCACGCGCGCAGATCGAGCGGCGCGAGCTGCTGCGGCGTGAGGGCGGCGGAGAGGAGCGACCCGGGGCCATGGTACAGAAAAGAACCGCCGGCGGCGAGCGCGTGCGCGAGCTCTGTCGCCGAGGGCGCCTGCCGTGACCCCAGCAGAGCCGGCCATTCGGCGGCGTGGGCCAGGGCCTCGCTACCCAGTACGTCCGAGGCGAAAACTTCGCCGAGGCGACCTCCCTCGACGCCCGTCGGAAGCCGCACTTCATCATGGACATCGACAGCGCAGCGGACGGCGCCACGCGGAGCGTCGGGGGCACCGAGGGCGAGGCGTCGCCGCAGCATCGAGACAGAGAGGTCTCGGCACACACCGCCGCCGCCGCACTCCTCCGCAAACACCCCGAGCAACTCGAGGGGTAGAGGTGAAAGGCACGGGTCAACGATGACGATCGTTGGCGGCCGCGCCACCGCGGCCGTGCCACCCTGCGGCTCGGACTCTGTTTCTAGAGAGCCTGCGGGCGTTTCGAGCATGGGGACGAGCGGCTCGAGCAGCGGCGCCAGCAGCGCCTCGGCTTTGGAAACCGCGTCGCGGAGCGCTAGCACGCGCGGCGGCGTCGCTTGGAAGGCGGCTGCCCCGCGGCCTGCTCTCGCAACCTCGCGCGCCTTGCGCCGCAACTTGTCCAGAGGACCGGCTGCCGCCGGCTCGGGCGGCTCGGGCGGCTCGGGCGGCGCAGCGGGCTGCATCTCTTCGGCCACCGCAGCTGGCAGAAGGTCGGACTTTGACTTGTTGAGCGCTGCGATGCGATGCAGACGCCTGGCTTCATTGATCGCGTCGATGGCAGCCGACAAGGCCGCAGGCGACAGGTCTGCGCGCGAGACGAGGACAGGCGGATCGTCGTCGCCGGCTTGCGCGATCGTGGCCATGCCGTACGCGCGCCCGTGGGTAGTGGTGGTCAGCTGCACGACTCGCGCTCCGGCCGGTAGCCCTGCGAGCAGCTCCCGGAGCGAACCCGTCTCCACCTCGAGCGACCTCCACGGGACGCAGCCTCGCTCGGCGTCGTCCAGCGCCAGCTGCGCCGACTTCCACACCGGCGTCTGGGCAGGCTGTGCCCAGCGTTGCTCGAGGCTGTGCGAGAGCTGCGAGAGAAGCACGGCGAAGCGAGATCGCGGGTCACACGCTCGCCGCCAGACGGCCAACCAATGGAGCCGAGCCGCGCAAGACGTTGCGACAGAGAGCCATCGGCCACACTCGAGCGGTCGCTCGGCGCCTGCGGCGTCGGCAAGTGCGAGCGCAGCCTCTCGCGCAGTCGCAGCGTCGCCCTCCTTGAGCGCCCCCTCGACAAGGCGAAGCAAGCCCGCCTCGCCCTCGCGTGCCTCTTCTGCGCCATCCTCGACCGCAGCCACCTCCCCCTCACCGGGCGCCTCCCCAGCAGCAGCAGCTTCGGCCTCCACTTCAGCCTCAGCACTCCCTGCATCACGTCCGGCCTCCCCTTTGGCTTCCTCGCCGTCCGACTCCTTTGGCGCCTTGGGCTTCCACACGCCACCGCCATGGCCACGGCCCCGCGCCATTGCGATGAGCGCGCGGCCGAGCGAGAGTCCGGCGTCGAGAGCAGCGCGTGAATGGCCGGCGAGGGCAAGGGAGGAAGATGAGTGGACAAGCGCTCGCTCAACATGACATAGCCCCGCGTCTCTCCTCGCCTCTAGAGCGTTTCCACGCACAAAGTCCAAGACTGCCGCCTCGTCCCGACCCTGTACGCGCGGGAAGCGAGGCGCGGTTTCCTGGAGCCGTAGCGCACGCCGCTCTTGCAGCTCAGCCAATCGCAGCTCAACGCGCGCCTGCCGGCTGCGCAGCTGCGCGAGCGTCCGTGCCGTCGGGAGGGACACGCTCGGAGGGGCCGATCGCGGCGCTGCTCGGTAGAGCAGCCTCTCCGCGTGCCCTACGGCGGCGGCGAGCAGAGCCATCATCTCCCCGAGCGCCTTCTCTTCGCGCAAAATGTCTGCGTCGCCCGCCACGTCGTCCTCGACGGCTCCCTTATCGGCGTCCGCAGCAGACGCACCGCCGCGCTCGACGGCATCGACGCGGGCACTGAGCGCATCAATGAGTGCAAGGCTAGCGCCGGACGGCTGAAGCAGAAGCGTCGCAGCCTTGAAGTGCTCGTCGGCCTTTGCTGGTGCCTCGGACGCCCCGACTGTGGCGCTCAGGTGGAGCCGACCGAGAGCGACGCAGAGGCGGGCTTGTGATGCAATCGCCTCTGCCTTGGACGAGGGGCTCGCCTCAGCGGTCTCGCAGATCTGAGCTGCCTCACGAAGCGTCGCTTCGGCTGCAGCCGCCGCGCCTCCCTTGGCTTGGAGGCTAGAGAGGGAGAGGACGGCAGAAGCCCACTCGTCCACCTCGAGCGGCGCAGCGCGGAGCGCGGCGGCCTGTAGCCTCAGAGCCTCCTCGGCATCGCCACGGAGAGCGTGCAGTTGCGCGAGGGTAGCGAGACACCGGGCGCGGCCAAGGTCGTCTCCGAGCGCCTCGAGCATGGGCCTCGCTTGATCGAGCCATTCGCCCGCCGCGCTCCACTCCCCCTCGACGAGAAGCGCAGCCGCGAGATCCACCCACAGCGCCGCGTCGGTACGCGTGGCGCTTCGGGGTTGCGACTGCGGACGGTGCACCAGCGGGTTCGCGGCGGACACGGCCTCGGGCGGTGGATGGCGCCGAGCAGGCGCCTTCCGCCGCGCGTCCTCGAGCCGGCGGGCACTATCGCGCTTCTGCTCCGCAGTCGGACGCCAGGAGGCCGCCCTATGCATCGCTTCGGCCGCAGCATCCGAAGCGCCGAGCTCACGAAGCAAGTGAGCGGTGCGCAGGATGGTGAGTGATTCGAAGGCGGGTCGCTGCACTACCGTCGCGGCCATGTGCCGCAGCAGAGATAACGGCAACAGCGAGTGCAGCGTCATGCCAGCCTCGTTGAATGTGTCGACGCTCCACCAAAGATGGGCCGCCGTTAGCTCGGGCATGGGGAGTGAGCTGACGCCAAGGACCATCTCTGAGTCTGCTGCGGCCATGAGCTGCACCATCCGCGCAGTGGAGCATTTTCTCGCGCCGATGTAACAGAAGCCAAGGGGGGGCTTTCAAAAGTTTTGGTTCATTTTCAGTGTCGATGTAGCTCTTACGAACATACCCGAGGGTGAACTGCTGACATTTTGGGCGCGTGTGTTTCTTTTTGGCACACGCACGCACTCTCGAGGTCTCTTGGAGCAGAGCCGTCGAGCTCGAGAATTCGAGATACCGGTCCCTCAGAGGGGTACCTTTGTGGCGGCCCCTCTCGCAGCCGCTCCGACGCCACAGCCCCTCCCGGGCCGGCCCCATACTGATCCCTCTCTCTCGGGCCTCCATATGATTTCAAGCCGCCGCGCCGGGCCCGGAGGCGGCGGCCGCCGCGCCACGTTTTGCTACGTCAAGGTGCCCCGGTCCGACCGCCGCCACGCGCCGGGCGAGGCGCACCCGCACATTGCCTACCTCGTCCGCGTGCACTCGGACCTGGGCACCTTTCCGAGCGAGCGCACCTGGTACGAGCTCCGCTTCTCGCGGATCGCAAAGCTGCACGCCGAGCTCGCCGAGCTGCATCCGGGGCTGCAGCTGCCCGGCCTGCCACGGACGCGCTGGTTTGCCAACCGCCATCCCAGCTACGTCGCAGAGATCTGCTCGGACCTGGAGCGGTACTTCATGCAGCTGCTCGCGAGCTGGTGCCGGCAGTACGAGTCGTACGACGGCTTCCTCATGCTCCTCGACGCGGTGCACCACGGCCCTCCCCACGCCGCCCGCCGAGCTCTCTTCTCCAGCCTTTTGCCGGCGCCCTCTCTGTAGGCGCACCACGGCCTCGCCACGCCCGCACCCGCCGACGGCGGCGGCAAGAGGACAGTGGCGGAACGCGGGGGCGGGCTCCCCTGGGACCTCCTCTCCTCTACCTCCCTCTAGGCCAGCCGAGACACGGGCCCGACAAGCAGTTAGAGGGAGCGGCCGAGTCGCCGCCACCACAGGCGCCGCCGCCGCCGCCGCCGGCTGTCGTGGCGGCGGAGGCCGGTGCAGGGTTTGGAGTGGGGGGTGCGTCTGCCTCTCCGGGATCCTCCTCCCGCGAGCCCGGCCGCCTCGCCGACCTCTCGTACGCCGCCTTCCTGCGGTGACACTTCCGAGACACGTCCGAGACACTTCCTGCACACGTCCGAGAGACGGGCAGAACACTCCCTAGACATTTCCGAGACACCTCCCAGACTTTCTGTTGCACTCCCAGGCACAGCGAGGACGCGCTGCGCGCCTCGCGCCCGTCCGCGCCCTTCGAGGACGTCGCGTCACTGCTCGGCGTCGACGAGGCATGCCGTTGCTGTACTCTGCTGTCCTGCCACCCCACCCCCCCCACCCCTCCCTGGGGTCTGCTTTTTTTGTTTTTGCTCCTGGGCCAAGCCCCTTGGCCAAGCCCCTCCACCCCCCCTTTTTTTAGGCCCCCCCCCCCCCCCCCTCAACCAAGCCCCCCTCAACCAAGCCCCCCTCAACCCATGCCCCCAGGCGGCGGCGTGGCGGATCGTTCAGTTCGACGCCATACGCGTCGAAGGCGACGTCTCCTCCCTCCGCCTCTGCCGCCGCTCCGCCTACCTCCTCCTCGCCGCCCCCGCCGCCGCACCCGGCGCGTCCACCGAGTGGCGAGCGCACTACTGGATCGGCGACTGGTGCGGCGCAGATCAGGCACGCTGCTGCCCTCTCGCCAGCGAGGATGCCCTTCCTGGAGAGGATGCCCTTCCTGGAGAGAGAGAGCGCTCCCTCGGCCAGGGGGCTGCTGATCACGCGCGCGGCCGCGGCGCCGACCCTGCTGCTTGCCTGCCTGCCTGCCTGCCTGCCGCCTGCCGCCTGCTGCTTGCCTGCCTGCCTGCCTGCCTGCCGCCTGCCGCCTGCTGCTTGCCTGCCTGCCTGCTGCCTGCCGCCTGCCGCCTGCCGCCTGCCGCTTGCCGCCTGCTGCCTGCCGCCTGCCGCCTGCTGCCTGCTGCCGCTGCCTGCTGCCCGCCGCCTGCTGCTTGCTGCCTGCTGCCGCTGCCTGCTGCCCACCGCCTGCTGCTTGCTGCCTGCTGCCGCTGCCTGCTGCCCACCGCCTGCTGCTTGCTGCCTCGTGTGTGTGTGTGTGTGTGTGTGAAGCCCCGTGCTTGCTCTGCGAGTGCGTGTGCCCCGTCGTCCGCGGCGAGGATGTGTCACACGGACCGACATGCGGAGCAGATGGGAGAGGTGGGGAGAGGTGGGGAGAGATGGGGAGAGATGGGGAGAGATGGGTAGAGATGGGGAGGGATGGGGAGGGATGCGGAGATATGCGGAGATATGCCGAGGTATGCGGAGATATGGGGAGATATGCGGAGATATGGGGAGATGTGCTGAGCAGGCGGGCGCGGCGGCGGTGCTGTGTGTGCAGCTCTGCGCGACCGTCGAGGCGGAGGTGGGCGGCCGCTGCTCGCAGGCGCGAGAGGCGCGGGGCGAGGAGTCGGCGCTCTTCCGCTCCCTCGTCGGCGGGTCGCTCGAAGAGCTACTCGAGGAGCCGCTAGGCGAGGGGGCAGAAGCTGCTCCGGCCGTGTACTGGCGCACGCCGCCAGCGGAGGCCGCGCCACGGCCGCGCTTGTTCGGCGTGCGAGGCGGGCGGCGCGGCTGCCTGGGCGAGCTGGCGCAGCTCCGAGCCGTGGGGTGCGCGTCGCTGCTTGAGGACGATGCTTGCTACGTCCTCGACGCGCCGTCGGCGGGCGCGTCGGACGTCCTCCTCGAGATTCCCCGAGATTCCCCGAGATTGTCCGAGATTGTCCGAGATTGTCCGAGATCAGGCGCGTCGGAGGTCTTCCACCTCGCAGGGCCGAGCGCGCCGCTTTGCGACAAGGCGTACTTCCTAGACATGTCCGAGACACCTCCTAGACATCTCCGTCTGCTCTTTCGACGAGCGCCCCTAGGGACCTACTCCTTTTTACCCATCATTTTTTACCCATCCCACAGTAGAGAGGTGTCCGTCTTTATGTATTTATTCAGGCGTACGCGCTGCTGCTCGCGCAGTCGCTCCGCTCCAACGACCGGCGAGGCGCGCGCGTGTGTACTAGTAGCGCGACACCGCACGGGGGGGGGGGGGCATCACGCACGGCCAGCGGTCCGCCTAGAAGGTTCCTAGAAGGTTCCTAGAAGGTTCCTGGCGGCCCACTGCTGCGAGTTAGGGCTCCACTGGGGCTGCCCGCGGAGCCTTCCGCCCGCCCTCAGGGGTGTGCGCCCTGCATGTGCTCT